ACAGTATATATATAAGTATATATTATATATATATATATATATACCAAAATTCATATTCAATCGACGTTGTTGATCTAGATCTACGTATGTCTCATCGTAAGAATAAAAAGCTAAGTAGACTCAGACACAATAAACAGAGATATGTGAGATAAAATAAACTCAAACGGGGAATTTTACTTAAAACCACCACACCTTTTGGGAACGTTCTCCCAGTACACTATATTATTCCAATAGCATTCCAAATTTCATCAGTGGATAATTTGGTTTATTCATAGAGAGGCGTTTCTCTAAAGTTTAGTTTTTTGCTTTCATGTTCACACTTGTTAGGTTGTTTATTTACTCTCACTGCCACCTTGCTATTGTTTCCTACCATTTTTGATTGACTATTCACCATGGCTATATTTACCTTTGCCCACTCTCTACTGAGGAAGGACTAGTGTTCTATTTCTTGTCATTTACTTTCGTATATATTTTAGCTATTGCTTATCAAAATTTATTTTCACTTTATTTTAATTCACATTCGACAGCGGGGAGCCCGCCACTTACAGAATTAAATACAAGGGAAGACGAAAAACTTCAAAAACACTTACTCTAGACATTTCTTAGATTTATATTTGAAAATATTAAAACTATTAAAAAACATGTCAATTGTGAATCTAATTGAATAAATGAGTTAAAATGTTTAGGTAATCTGCAAATAAATCCGTTTTTAAGAATACTGGTTCGAGAAAATGGAATATAAAATAAATTGACCGATGCATGACGAGAACGTTTAATTTTAACAGAAAAAGCAAATAAACAAAAAAGGTAAGGACCAAAAAATCCCTTTATGTATTTGAAATAAATACAATCAAAGTAACTCCTTCGTTGACTTAAGCTGGGTAAATTAATAGTATTACGACTAACATTACACGATTTACAAACAAACTTCTCAGCTTGACTTTTACATAAGCCATTAAACATAATAGTACCATTTTTAAGACGAGGCCTAACCAAGGACATATAAAGGCAAATCAAAGTTTTAGGATTGTCTTAATTTCAATAATTCTGCTTAATGAGGTCAACATTCTATTAACTTTACTACAAATATATTTGATATGGCGATTAAAATAAATTCAATTTATTATCAAGAACAACGCCCAGGTCTTTATGGATTTCTACATTATCAAGAGCATGGCTGTTTATACTATGGGAATATAATATTAGGTTCTTTAATGCTAATATTTCGAATTTTACATTTGCTTTCACTAATGACCATACCCCAAGTTTCACACCACTTACAAAAAAACATCAAGATATTTCTGAAGCTGGTGGGAATCTTCAAGGGTGTTGATTTGTCAATGAGCTTCATTGAAATTTATGAGTTTAGATTCAAAGGGAGATCATTTATGTATAGGTTAAAAAGCAAGGGGCCTAAGATGGTTCTTTAAGGATTTAACGGGGAGTCAGGTAGAAAAAGCACCTTGATCCAAAGTAACCCGTTGCTCTCTGTCACTAAGATAACTGACGAGAAGTTTTAACAAATTACCAGGTATACCAAATTTTGTAAGTTTGTAAATAAATAATTCTTGATTGACCTTGTCGAATGCTTTAGCAAAATCGGTATATATTACGTCACACTAGGAGTAGCCTTCAATGTATTTGTATGCTGTATTTAGGAGAGTAGTGATATTCATAGAACAGGAATGGTTAGGAGTAAAACCGTGTTGGGCCTCAGAAAGAACCGGCAAAACATGCTTTAAAATGGAGTTTTACATTCAAATATTTTTGATATAGTTGGCAAAAGTGAAATTTTATGGAGTGGTTTGGAAAGGGGTAAGAAGGCAGCTTTAAGGACACTATTGCTAATTTCATTTACGCCTGATGATTTCTTAGTATCAGCGTAATAAAATTTCAATTTCTTTAATGTCTATATTTAAGTATGCTAAATTTTTAATAGAGTAGGAAAATCGGGATATGTGTGAACTTGTTCGTTATCAAAAAGAGAACTGAAATAATTATTTATAAAAAGGTTGGCCTTGTCTACAGGTAAACTAACTTTCGTGTCATTATTGTTCATCATAGAAGCTTTTTTAATCCAGCCCCAAAATCTTTTGGGATTTAAAGACATATCATTGCCAAGTTTCTTTACAAATTCAAAATATTTACGTTCGCTTAACAGTGTACGGAGGTCCTTCTCAAACCAAGGTGGGAACTTACGCCTTGGATTGATAACAGGAATAGATTTATTTACTTTTTCTAATACAATATCATTAGAATATTGTACTGCCTCATCAATATCTGTATTATTACAAGCATTAAAATCTTACCAGTTAACCTCATTCAATTTAGTAATCAATCTACGTCCATTTTCTTATAATAGTCCTTTTCGAAGTGGATCTAAAGGCAGGTGTATAATGTAATTTAAAACTAAAGCACATAGCGTTATGATCGGAATCAAAGATGTCATCACCCGACGACAAAGAATCTGTAATATCATAACTGCATAAAAAAAAGGTCGAAAATATTATATCTATATATATTAACAAGATTATATTCATTGAGATGAAATTGGTTAACAACACAATTAATGAAATAATGTTCGATTGCGTTCCTAGTAGTTGGTGGTTCATTTTTGGACCAGGTTATGCCAGACAAGTTAAAATCATCCATCAAAATAAAGTCACAATCTGGGTAATCTAGATGAGTTGATACAAGCATTGATGACAGTTCTTGGAACGATTCTAAGGAACAGTGAAATTCTTTACAAGTAGACATTCGATGTTTCGCTTTTGATATTGATAGAGACGATGAGAATTAAAATCGGAATTAAATACCATCATAACACCACTGCCTCTTCGTCCGTCATCCCTACCCCTGTGGTAAAGTGCAAATCCATTAGGCCTATGTGTTACCCCAAAGTCTAACACATGACAGTTGAGCCAGGTCTCACAAAAGCAAAAAATGTTATATGTGTTAGTTATCAAATAGTGAGCAATTGTTGAGTTGAAGAAGTGAAGTTTATTTTTTAGACTGCTGACATTTTGGGAAATAACCATTATTTAATCCTGGCGTGTCTCAGATGTTACGGTTTGATTAACTCTGATGTGCGTCGGGCCTGGGTTTAGCTCAATATCTCCTGATAAACGTATCGCCAGTCTTTTACACGGGCTACATCTTATGTTTGTTGTAATAAACATACAAATAAATAAGATAAACAAAAATAAAATTTGTGTGACGTTGTCGGTAGGTGTTTTGGATTCCATGGCATCAGTGAATGCAGCAGGGAGCAACAATCAAAAGCAGGGCAATGCACCTGGTCAAAGCGTAAAATCTGATCTGACAGATCTGTTTGATGTTATCGTATTAACTTAGTAAAGCAAGATCAGTTACAAATAAATATCAGGAGACCCAATGGCGTTGTCAATCTGTTCCTGGTAAAATAATTTAGACACCAGCAGTGACAATACTTCGGGCCCAGCTTCGTTGTAAAAAAAACAAGTAAAATCAAGTTAAGCAAGATCAGTTAAAAATTACAAATAAATATCAGAAGACCCAATGGCGTTTTCGATCTGTTCTTGGTAAAATGATTTAGCCACCAGCAGTAACAATACTTCGGGCCCCGCTTTGTTAAAAAAACATATAAAATCAAGTAAAATACCTGAATGCACCTATAACAGTTAAACCAGAAACATAAGTAAAAAAGATCATGCACCAAAAGTCTTCGTTGCAGAATGTTGATATAACTTTATATAAACGAGCTGAAATGCAAGCTCTGTACCCCTATGCCAGGTCAGGCGTAGAGTTGATTATCTCCGGTAGTGAATTTCGAACTCCACTGTGACACGACTGCTCACGACGAAATCCAAATGCTGATCTGTATCACAAATTAGTTGGATTAGACCTGTACTCGAATCTCAATGTAGGCATTAATTTGTGATGTATATTCCTTTCAATAAAATTGTTTCGACTTTCAGGTTGGCATTTCCTCATCCAAAAAAAAAGGACTACACCATCGTCGTCAAAACTGGTGTCCAGAATGGAATATGGATCGGTGTGAATATAGGCGTTGTTCTCGTAAATAATAACGCCGCACTATCACGCATTATCATACTTCACAGCAATTGGCTTGACGTCTTCAAATGCAGAAGCACTGACACATTTCCAATTAGCGATCTGGCCAATTTCGGAGACGTCACGGAATTGTGGCTCAGCAGCGGAAAAGATGCGTGGTATATCGAATGGATAGAGGTGCACAACAATAAAAATCACAAGAAGTTCATATTTCCAATAAATCGTTGGGTGACGGCAAGAGGATTAATGAAATTTCAGGAATATGATTGTGTGCTGCCACAATTCGACAAATTTCCTGAACAGCGGAAGATGGAACTCAGGCAAAAGAAAAAGGAGTATGCGTTTGCTCCTGCTGGGGACCAGGAAGGGCTGCCATGCGAGGTCAGATTTGTAAATAATTGAAATATGGTAGATTATATATATATATACGTATATATATATATATATATATATATATTATATATATATCATATCTGTCATACATATTATGTCTGTCATTGGCTTTAATAATTGTGGATCAAATATAATTTTAAATAGTTATGGACCCATTGGAAATTAGTTCACATTAAAATATCAACTTAACGGTTTATTCACATAATCTTGTACATATATTGTATGAATGTATTGGATATCAAAATAAATAATCATTCTATCAAATATTGTCATTGTTGTTACGAGGAAAGCAAATACATCAAATCTAAATTTGTTTCCTGGTTGATGTTTAACTTTCAGGTCAAAAAAATGCCAGAAGGTGAAAGTTTTTCTAATACATACAAGGTATGTTCCACGTTCTCATTTATACATTATTAAGTTATATTTTATAATATAATTGACCAATGCAAAGAAATGTTATTTTTAAAATTTAGTCAGTTTTGGAGAAAGGAGTTTGCAGACTGCCATTTATTTTTTGGGTTCGGTTTTCTTAGCGTTCTTCTGATTCTTCTTTTTCTTGCAACATTTCAAAATGCAAATAGTAGCAAAAGGTTGAGCCGATTTTAATAAAACTTGGTCAGTAGAACATAGGGTGTTCACAGCGTCAGGTCAGATAGGGTTCATTGGTATAACATAACACAGTTTTGTCCTTTGTAATATGCATTGTCATATGACAGATTCTTTATGGTGTTTAAAGATTTGGGGTCAAACGTCAATAATAGGTTATTTTTATGTTTTTCTCTTAACATTTTCAAAAAAAATTATAGTGGCAAACGGTTGGGCCGATTTGGTTGGGGTTATGGGGAGAGGGTCTGGATTTTTTTTTTATAAATATATAAACATTTTCAAAATACAACATTTTCAAAATTATGCAAGTATTTACAAGTAAAATGATCAGAATTTCTATTGTTGCAAGCTACATTGTAGCATGAGGAGGTGGTAAACAAGCTGTTTAAGCAAGACAGTAATTCCTCCATTTGAACTACCGGTTCCGTTATTAAAATACTGGTAGATCACATTAACTACTCTCTATCTTCTTTAACATCAAAACATTTAGCGTTATTTATGCATCCGCAATAATTAATTGAATGCTACAGTAGATCTATACCTTTCTTTGTGACCAGTAATCCAATTCAAATTAAGCCAAAAGCTGATGGAAAATTATGCTAAACTATACAAAATGTTAAATTTAATGTTTTTTTTAGATAAACGGCTTTCTCCCACCTAAAATGAAAGCAACAATATTCTCAATAATATTACTGTATACCTAGTGGTGCCGCCAGAATCGACGGTATCAGGTCTGATGTTCCCAACTGGGAAGAGTAGAGGAATTGGAATGGCCAATTTTCCGGACGGGAGAAAGTTGCAGGGGTTAGGCAATCAAGAACCTGTCTTTTGACATACATCATGAGTTGCCTATCTGCAAGATCATTTATTTTTTTCAAAACAAGACATAAACCGCTTCGTATCTTTTGAATTACTTCATTTAGTACTAAATATAGTCCGTACCATGGTTTTATCCTCCATGTTTTCCAAATCTCGAACAGGTCATGAAACAGTTTAGTATTCTTTGAATTTATTCAAAGCTATTTCCTTCATTTAGGTATACCTTTACGTAAGCTTTGCACCACAGTACGATGCACTATAAAACGTTCGGAACCTACTTTAAAGTTTGTTCAAATATTTTTTTACACGATTTTGAATAACTTCATAAATACGTTTTAGATAGACTTCATTGCAAAGAACCGAAATGTTCTCAGTAGGTCTAACCTGGCTCTGTGATTATTATACTATTTTATAACTATACTGTTTGTTTATTCTGAAATCGCATACATATCATACGAGTACTCATAAACGTATTATTATCCGATAGTTTTCATTTATCTGGTTGGGGGCCTGAATTTTGTGTAGGGTAATAAGTTGTTTGGAATCGAAGTATGGCTTTTCGTAAGTTGGTGAATTTATATACGTTTCTCGTGGCCTTCATAAAATTACTAAATTTTAACCCAAACTTAAAAAATAGTACGATTAAAGGTAATACTTTATTTTATGACTTAATCACATTTTGCTTAAATTACATGTTAAAATGTTTATTTGGCCCTTTTTGTCGAAACCTGGTGATGCTAATTTACAGCCTTTTTGTAGTCTTAGGTCACAAATGAAGTCATTATACTTTTTTGGTGTCGATATAGGACCATTTAAACCAAAACGTCGCAGATCTGATATCTCAAAACTAATGAAGTCATCTAAATAGAACTTTAGTGTTAGTGTAATATTTTGATTATGGTTTGTGGTTGGAAAGTAGGAACATTGTGAGGAATTATTTTATAGAAAGAGAATTTGGCGAGTTAATGTGAACTTTTGAAGAGGAGTGGAGCGAAGTGACGTAGAGTGGTAGTGGTGGTGGTTGAAGTAAATTAGGAACATATTTTGGGAGATTTATTTTATAGAAAGGGTTTTGCGGTGGGCGGAGATATGCCCTCTACTCAGTGTTCTTGTTTTTCATCATTATAGTTATTATTTTTACGGCTATTACTTGAATCTCATGGGATTTTCTTTAAATATGGCTATTTTTTGTTATTAATAATTTAGTGGAAGATTTTCTATACACAAGTACAAGACTTGATTAGCTTGAAAATTATTGAATTTACAACATCACCCTTTAAGAGTGTCGATGATCTTGGGAAATTGTACAGGAGGAGGAAAGCATTTCCCGAACCTACAGTGAGTATGTTTATGAGCATATTTAAACTGCAGTTAAAATATCATTATTGTATCATGCATAATTACGGAATTGGTCTGGCTGGCAAACGGGCTATTTTCCTTAATTAATGAGAATCCAAATATGACGTCAGGCAACACTGTTGTATACGACATAATGTAAATTTTAAAATATGCATGATGCTCTCGTGGAGAATTATAGACCCATGGGTCTGGGCCCCGCACAAGACTGTTTCTATGTGTGCGTTAAACAAGCATTACAATTATTTTATATAAATTGGTTTTTAATTTTATTTACAAAGTAAAATAATAAATATATATTTTAAGTCATGTAATTACAATATAAATTAGGCCTATTATTATCATTTTTATTAGCTATTCTTCTCTATGATCCAAATGCAAGTAGTAATAAAATGATTACAAATATTATTTTTTTTTTGTATTCTAATAAAATATTTAGAAAATGTATTATATATTTAGATTTAGATGGAAAAGTAAGTTGTTGTAAGTTATTTCTAGTTAAAATGTGAATTGTTATTCTGCCATGGTTAATTATTTTTATTAAACAGTTACTATTTTCCCATACATTTATTTCCATAGTATTAAACTGTATGCCATTCAAAGTAAGGCAAGATTATATAAAGCATAAATTAACTAGACTTATCATGAACGTTAACTAGACATATGCTACTGTCAAGAATCATACTATTTAACCAATTTCTATTTACAAACTGTGAGTACACAAACAGTAAGAAAAATTAAAAAAATAAAACTTAACATGCAACCTTCATTGTAACCAGGGAGAAAGCTCTCTTCTGATTAGTTGGCTGTTGAAAGAACTTCACGCTTCAGCGTATCACAACCTACCTTTGTAGTTATGCCCTTTTTGCCTTGGGAATTTACTGAAAATTGTGTAGTTATGCCCTTTTGCCATGCCCCTATTTAGCCCGGGGGACACTTTTTTACATTTTTTTGTGTCAACATGTGTTACATGATGTACTGACCCCACTAGGCTATATAACTCAATTTCGCCAAAAATGTCAGTGATGCCCTTTTGCCATGGGAGTGGGAGGTGGGGCAGTAATGTGGATAGAGTTAATGTTAAAGATGTTAGTATAAGGTAAAATAAATATACAAATTTTCAGAACCAACTAAGAAATAATCCTAAACTCTTCACAGTGTTATAGTCTATTATGCCTAATATCTCTTTATATAATGTGTTTTTATTATAGGGAATGCACCACTGGAAATCAGACGTTGAATTCGGGAAGCAGCGACTGACGGGATGTAATCCGGGAATAATACAACTGTGCACAAAAATTCCAGAAAAGTATGCAATATTGATTTTTTTATGGTATTTAAATAAACCTTATAATAATACCTATTGAGGATACCTAGACATTCAATATGTGGTTAATCTAGAAAATATCCAAATTGGCTCATGGTCTTATGATCATTTATGCTTGATGAACATCTCAAAATCAACAACAGTGGCGTTTCTATAGAGGCGAATTTTTTATACTATGAATTTTATTGGTTATAGATTTGATGTAACCGATGAAATGCTCCAACCTTTACTCGAGGAAATGACGATAAAGGAGGCTATTAAAATGAAAAGGTTGTTCATTGTAGACCTTGAGGTGACAAAAGATGTTGGGTGCACATACCAAGATAAAGAGGTAGTAATATTTTTGTATCATATTTTAACGTCAATAGTCGCATAGCGGGTGTGATCAAAGTCCGATTCAAGTATTCACCCCACCCCCTTACATTTCATTAAAATAAACATTATTATAAACATTATATGTTAAAAATGTTGTACCTCGTCTCCAACCATGATCGGACCCACCATCTGTAAGCTTCCGTCACCGGGCCCATTTATTTCACCTTCCTGAATCTGCAAAGGTAATGCATAAAAAACCTCCTGAATTATAGCTTGTCCTAGGTAATCAGCATGTTCAACTATGTCCAACAGAGGCCGCTATACATATATTACATCTCCTCTTTTTTAGATAGAAAAGACTAACGAAAATTTAACGATTGGGAGGAAGATGTACATATGGTAAAACACTTAGCAGGTCTTTGTACCGAGTCGGGGCACGTTTTACGCGTTTGAGCCCATTTGGTTTTTGTGGTGATGGCTGTACTTTGGGAGTAGTGTTCTCGTTCCCCAAGAATTTCTTACAGTGGGGACAATGCTTGTGACAATGACGGTCGCATTGGGCAGTGATCATTGCCCCCTTGGGGTGGATGGTACGAAGAGGTTTTTTTTGCAGAGCGTACGTGCCAAAATTTTTTGACAAGTACAGTATCACCCGCAGTAATTAGCGAGTGTCAGCCTCATTTTGTGTAGAAAGAAAGGACACATGACGTTCCATTCACTTTTACGGCCATGGGAATCTCTTTGTATTCACTTGTATTTAATCAATGCAAGAATAAAACAAGTGATTGATAGTGAATTCTGGAGTTTTATTTACATTTACTGTCAGTCTGAAAATACAAAATACTGTACTGTTTAATATTTGTTCAATTAAAATGCGATATTTCCAAGCCTGCGTCAGCCTGTGAATGGTTAGCTGCTTCGTTTCACGATCCAACTGATGTATTGGCCTCCTTATGCTTCTTCCATTCTAGTACAAACTACCTGTCGGTGTGCTTTCGTACAGGATAAGGGCAGGGGCTGTAAGGTGTACCTGTACACCGGGGTACCCCCTACTCGTCTCTAAAGATGTACTGGGTTCTTCAAGTACACACTAAGCTAATTGTGTACACTGGGCCTACGGTTTATAGTCCTTACCGGGAAGACTTGCTCCACCCCAGAGCATAGGAACGTTTATTTGAATGAATACACACATTTGTGTTCAGGATGTGATCTGGTTTTTTTTTTTTATGGCTAATTTTCGTGGTTATGACTATTTTCGATAAAGACTGTTTTGAGCAGTGGTGGATTCAAGTCCCCCACCCCCATCTAAATTGTTTTAATAGAAAATGAAAAAGAAAATTATATCCAAATTTATGTCTGAGAGTGTAATTTCCGGCCATCTAGGGGTGCCCTAATCATAAATGTTCATGCCTCAGCCCCAACCATAGTGGGGCTGAGGTGGGTGGATCCTCAGTCTGTGAAAGTCCCTCTCTCTCTGTGTCACCTCTCTTTAGGATTCCTGGATCCGTCACTATTGAGTTATTATTATAATTATTGTTAGGTTTACTAAGATTATTTATGTTGCGTCTATTGCAATGTTCACTTTATCCTCTCAGAACCGTCCTTAACGTTCAGAGTGCGCTACCTCCCGGGGGGGAGGGTTGCCCCTGGGCCCCACCGAGGTCCTTGCCGTCCCCAGCCGTATGAAGGGGAAACTCCACCACCGCTACTTACCTCGCAACGGCTCCCCACCTTTCAAAATCCTGGCTACGTCCCTGATACAGTATAACTGCTGTCTACATATACATATTCTTGCACATAGATAACAGACTACAGTATGTGAAGTTATAATTGATTTGATGAAAATAAAATTTCTGAAATCCGATTTTGATTGCATGAGAGTTTTCTTGGTTTATTTGTCTATTTGTATTCAACACATTTCATATTATAAAGAAAACGATTGATTGTACCTAACGGAGAATATTTTGTAAATTGTTATAATTACATCAGAATTTGCAGTTTTAATATGATACTTGCTTGATTGATGGACGCTTAAGCCTTATATGACCCACTTATCAATCTGACTGCTGTGCTTGATTCCACGGTCACTGGAATTTTTTAGTGCTTCTGAGTCCGATGAAATTGTTTTTATCATTTTTTTTTTAAAGTAACGTATAGTGTGTGGGTAATAATAAAGTCATTTATCTCAATTTGTTATCATTTAATTATAGTGTTAATTGAATAAATAAATACAATCATATAAACGAAGCAAACACTCAAGTTAAATAGAGGTTATACAAAAATTATTGATTTTATTGATTTTAACAATTAATACATAATTATTCAAATCAGTGTTAATTATTAGCCTAGGCTTAAATAAAATAAATAATTTGTTAAATAATTATTATGATTATTTATTAAATACTGTATTAATTTGATCACTCGCGTCTATACATACTTGACAATTAAAAAATTTAATTAAAATTATTTTTTGGCCAGAAAATTAAATCTGAAGCCTGTTAGCCACATACATTGGAGAAATTTGATAGGGTATCTAGATGCAGCCAGGCTAACATTACCTCATCATTCTGCCAAAAATAAACTCATATATTAATGTCAATTCACCGTCACGCTTCCTGGCCAGTTCCTACTTGGAGCTGTCTGTTAAATATTAATGATATTAAAATTTCATTTAATTGTATGAGAACATGTTTTTTTAAAGAACGTCTATCGCCCTTACAACCTATACTGCCCCAAATGTCTAGAGCCCCCACAAGATATGCTGCCCCTATATTTCACGACCCCTGCTCAAAAAATCAGCATCTGGTTGCTGCGTGGAAATTTGTTGGGAGTGCTGAGCTTATAAGTTCAGTGTAACGTGTGTCTTTATCAGACGCATGGTATATTATGCCAACGATCAGTTTCTTCCGTCGTGAGGTTCGGATTTTCACAAAAGTGTCTAAATTAGCATAGTTAGCAATAGAAAGTCTCTTAGAACTAAAATTCTCGGACGCAAGAAGCAAAATTCCACTTCCTCTCCTCCCATCATCACAGTCATTTCCCATCATTGCAGTTATTTCAGTATAATATTCCAAGAATTCCAAGACAAATTAATGTTGACTACTAGATATTATGAATATAATATAATTTTATCTGTTGCTTGTCAAATTCTTATATCTAATTTCAGACGAGATTCGAACCTGCAACCTCGCTGTTTCTACAATTTACCTAATTGTTTATATATATACTGTCTCTTATACACATCTGGGTTGCCCCTGGGCCCCACCGAGGTCCTTGCCGTCCCCAGCCGTATGAAGGGGAAACTCCACCACCGCTACTTACGCCTATCACTTGTGTTAGGTAAATCTAAAATGACATAATCTGTGACAATACTGATAGTTCTTCGTAATGTAGAGGTAAGACGCTCGCCTTTTCAGCGAGAAGTCGCATGTTCGAATTCCGCAAGAGATTTTTTTTCCACACATTTTAAAGAACATTTTCTTTGAAGATATAACATATTTACCTTCGTTTATTCTTTTCATAGATTTGCAGCCCCATAGCCCTGTTTTTTGTTGACAAAGAGTCGACGTTGAGGCCTGTTGCGATCCAACTATTCCAAGACAAAGCCGAAGACAATCCGGTAATATAAAGGGTTGAAATTGTAGAATTATAAAGAAAATATTAAAACTAGACTGCGAATATATAGAGGCAAAGAGAATATTGTCTTCAAAATTGTGTTGTATGACCAGCGTGTGTTTACAATAATTGAATATGTGGGTTATTCCTATAGGAGTAAATTTTAATATTCAACATATGAACATATGAATACCTTATATTCCTGGTAGACCTATGCAAAGGTAGATTAAGTGCCTTTCCTGGTGACACAAAAGAATGACAATGAAATTCAAAACCCTTGCTCAATAAATAGCCCGGTATGCAACTGTAATAATAATAATAATAATAATAATAATAATATGGATTTATATAGAGATTTTAACTTAAAATGACAATTCGCTTGACATCTAAACGAACTAACATGATTTAAAAGTTACAATTACACTAAAACGTTTAACTTAACTAAAAAACATAATAAATTGTAGAAATAAAAAGTTAAATTAAACCTAAAACATAGAGTACAGTAGATAGATTCGAATTTAACATCCGAGTTTGACCGCTAGGCAGCCGCTCCCATACTGCTCTTAACTGATAAATAAAATACAACGGTTGTCTTTTTAGCGGCTTATTTTACATTCGTTTCCCAATAGGTATTTCTTCCGACAGACGATGAGTACACATGGATGTTTGCAAAGATGTGGTTCAACAACGCAGACGCGTCCTACCACCAATCAGTGGCACATCTAGGAATGACACATTTGCTTGTGGAAAGTATAGCGGCAGCGACGCATTCTTGCCTATCTCCTTCCCACCCTCTATTTCGTCTTCTAGCGCCACACTTTTTGTATCTTATGGCAATTAACAAGTAGGTGTTCTTTAAAGAAAAAGTTAACAATATGACATTATTATGTGCACTATATTAGAAAATATGTTTTAAAGATAATGATGCCGCCTGTTTTAAATAAATTCAATATTTGTATCATCGTCATCTTCCACATCATCATCATTGTGATCCTCGTAATCTCTATCATCATCAACGTTGTCATTATCATTAATGCATTGTTCGTTGTCATCATCATCATCATCATTCGAACGACAGTATTGTCCTCGCCGTTAATAAATTACCAATAATTATCCTATTATAATACACATTGTTAAACGATGTTTTCGAACAAAATAAATTAGACTATGTATAAAAAAGCGAACAACAAGGTATTAATAATTTTAATAACCAAATTCATTTGTTTTTACCAGCTTTACCTGGCATTAACTACTCTTAACTAAAAAAAAAGTCTTGCCACTAACGTTTAACTATGTAAACTTACTATCGAACTATTAACTGTCCCTGTTACGGACGATTATCAATACAAAGAAAGTTTACGTTTTACTCGGATAAAAAAGTTCTTATTTACCATCACTCTCAAATGCTAAGACGGTAATTCTCATGTTGTTGTCTTCCGTAAATTAGTACAACGTTATAAACAGCTAAAATCAACTAAACTATCAGCTAAGGACGGTTTCGGCTCTACTGACTAACTAATCGACCATATTTTTCTCCTTCATTTTCTTACGACCAAAATAGAAGGCTCACTTCAAGTTGCTCTTATACAGGGCAACGATAATAATAATAATACGTTCAACAATTCAAATACAACTATGCCTTATTGTTATGCGTAACAGTCATATATTTAAGAAAAACAACCGTAAATTAGTTAAACACAATCATTTAAAAGATCATAACTCTGAAATATTATAAATCACAAACCCAACAATGATTAAGTAATAAGTGTGCAACTGTATAATCACGTGGTGAAGCGTATGAGTTTGGAATGTATAAGTTGTGTGGATGATTTAAGGCGGAATCGCAGTACAATGTTATTAGCGCAATTCCAAGCTCCAGATAATTTTAAGTAACTCCAAACACTGTATCATTTGGGCAGCGCTTGGCTTGCACACTATAAAGGTATTATTATGCTTATCATGGTCAAACAAATCAAGTCTAAGTCATTTGGATCATCAGAACTTCGAGGTCTACTATTTATAATTGACTCTACGTCACACATCAATGAGTTTAACTGCTCATCTGATGCTTGTTTTAATATGCTGCTCATTTAGCAAACTTCTCAGAATTTTACGGATGGTTCTTATCTGCCTTTCCCATATTCCATCGAAATGGGAAGCCGCAGGTGGATTAAATTTCCATTCCAATCATCAATATATATCATGAATGAATTCTGTTTAATTACAATTTTGATCTGTGTGATGTTTTTAATGCAATTGTATATATTTCTCAATTCTCTTTTTATAAATCGTTTTGATGCTTCTTCTTTTCTCCTCTTGTGCATTTATTTTCCCCTTTGTGTTTCAAACGTAATCATCTTGTTTCTAATTCTATGAATTATTTTATGCTTGATGTTTTTTTTTTTTATTTTATTTTTTCTTGATTGTTGTCCTTGTCTTGCCTTTTTGGATGCTTCCTTTTTTTGGATGTTGTCCCTTTATTCCTTTTTAACGCTATAGTGAAATTTTTAGATAGGCTGAATTTGTTCTCCCTTAATAAAATAAATTGTATATGTTATACTTCAATTTAATTATATTGGAAATTGCAATATAAGTTTATTTTTATTTGTATCGTCAATAAAATAAAAGTTCAACAAACCATTATATATATAATACATATTCTATTATAATTTTTTATTATTATTGTTGTTATTGTTCTTGTTGAAACTTATGTATTATTCATTTTATTTTGCATATTCAGACTTGCATGGGAACTTCTAATTTCTGAAGGAGGATGGGTCGATAAGACTATGACCATTGGTCGGCCTGGCTTGTTTGAGCTTTTAAGACGCCGCTTTAAAACATGGCGACTCGACACTGACGGAAACTTCCCGAAGGATCTTGAGTCTCGTGGTGTTCTTGACCCGGCTGTACTACCTCAGTATTACTTCAGGGACGATGCGCTGTTGCTTTGGGACGCTATTTATGATTATGTAACGACTGTTGTGAACGGCCACTACGGTACTTATTATAAATGTTAACCATCGTTTTATATTAATTAAAAAAGGTTTACTTATAGCTGTAATTACAACTATTTTTCAGAATAACGGGTGTATTTTTTAGCATTTTTATTAATTTATTTTTTAAATACTTAGTGCAATCACTTGAACATATTGATTGGAATTTGGAGCTTAGTTCTCTTTCAGGATTTGAGTCTGTCAGTTTTTGAATTGCCTTTGAGAAACTTATACAGCTCCATATTCCTATGAGAAGGAAACGTAGTCGTAATAATCCCCAATGAATGAACATGCGTGCCTTAAACAATTTATAAGAATAAAGGTTAGAAACTTTATACCAAGGGTAAGAGGAAACGGAGACCACATATTGAAGTAAAATGAAAGCAATTTGTAGAGGATAGAAAGTTTACCACAAATTTAATTAGAACAATTATATAATTGTTTTTTATAAATTGGCAGATGAGATACATTGTAATAAAAAATGCTTCAGTAAAAATACGTAAAGATTCAGACTAAAGAAATCATGGGGTTCGGAATCTAATTGCTGAAAACGAAGTGTCTGATGATCAAGGAAAGGCAGAATTACTTTCTTTAGAATTATACTATCTGGGTAGTGCTTTTATGGAAGGAGATGTTGTCTGATATCCTAATTTAGCTTTATCTGTTGACACGCGTGTCATGGATGATACTTCCTTTGCTAAAGATTCTGTCTAGTTTATACATAATTAAATCTGCTGAACCTGACGGGTTACATGCCAGAGTGTTGTATGAACTTAAAAATGTTATTCCCTAAAACTCATTTTAACTAACTTTTTTAAAGAGTGGTGTACCTATGTTCTTTAGGGAAGCATGGGTGGTTCCAATTTTGAAGAAGGGCAAAACGAATACTTCATCAAATTATAGGCTGATTAGCTAACATCGATTGTTGGGAAGATCATAAAACGGTTCATTAGAAATTATCTTATGGAATATCTCGAGATAAACGGATTATTGTGTAATGAGCAATATGATTTTAAGAAAAGTTATTCTTGCGCAACCTAACTACTTGAGGTACATGAGTTGTGGACCACATACATTGATAAATTCTTTTAATTCAGTTCTGCACCAACGTCTAACTTGGCAAACTCTGTGTATCAAAGATAAGAAATTACAACAGCACTTTTAAGACTAACTTTAATAAAATATATTCTCTAGCTTTCTTTATCACGGTGGACTTCATCAGGAGATTGTGTAGGCGAAAGCTAGAAAATATATTATTTTAAACAAGTTAATCTTTAAAGTGCTGTTGTCATTTTTTATATTGTGCTATAGCAGACTACCGCGGTTACACATTTTATTCATCATGGTATCAAAGATAACAGTTTAATGTGGTTTGCGGAATATTTTACTCATCGTTCACAGCGTATTTCTATAAATGGATGTCTTTCAAGTGAAGTTTCAGTGCTAATTTGTATCCCACAGGACTCTGTCCTGAGTCTGATTTTTTAATTTATTTTCTTTAATGGTTTCCCTTATAGTATCCCATTCTCATGTAAAACTGCTGCAGATGATTTTGACAAACCTTTTCAGAGTTGTAGACTCAGTTGAAGGTAAATTTCATAACATCAATGCCCTGTGCGAGTTGTTTCGAAAATTAAATTTAACATTTAATTATAAATGTAAAACTGTTTACTCTGGTAGAAAAAATATCAAAAAATGTTCGTACTTTATGTTTAATCTGAACTCCAGGCAGTTAATAATGTAAAGGACTTTTGGTTCTGGTCTCTAGTCTCTGATTAAGAAAGCTAAAACACGAAATTGGAAATGATTAAACGGTCTTTCAGATATATGAAGAAAAATGGTGCATTGAATTTGCACAAGTCTATTGTGAGACTAACCCTTGAATATTACAATGTTGTTTATAACCCAATTTTTAAGAGAGAGGGAAAGTACAGCAACGTGCTACTAAGATGTTTTTGTCTGGCGGTTCGGGATCTCCATATAAGACAGATATTTTTGAATCTACAAACTCTAACGTTCCGTAAACAGAGAACTAATATTTTACAGTTCTGTGAGATTGTGCATAGAATTCACAGGGTTTCAGCTGAGTTATTTTTTGAGCTTGATAAAGACAATAAAACCAGATCAAACATCTGAAATTTAAGACGCTTAATCAAATGATTAAATTCTAGTTCAGTCAGTCTGTTTAATTATGCAATTGGAAAGCGTTTGGGTGACAACCCGCTTAAATTTGCGCCCTATGTTAAATGTTAAATATCCTTTTTGGAGGGGCCTATTAGAATCATTTTGCTTGGCTAGGGAGGATCAGACGGATTAAGACTTTCTTGGGAAACAAGTAAACATTTAATTTGTAACTGGCAAGCTATATACATTAAAAATAAAACCATTTTGAAGATTTGTTAACATTTTGCCTCTTAACATTTTGTCTCCTAATCATTTAGGTACATTATAATAATCTTAATAATGAGTTTATTCATACCGTAATTAGTGTTCTGCCATAGTCCGAGACTCTCTAATTATCATTGGTTTGATAACTGTCCTGCCTTTTAAACTAAAGCATTCAAAATATATAAGCGTAACGTTTTTATTAAGACATATATAACAATAATTTATACCCTAGGAGCCAGACCAGGTTTTGTATGCACTTTGAGGTGCAGAGAATTTGACTTAAATAATTGGTTCAGGGTGGTCCAAGAATCATTTTTGGCTTGGTAACATATTTTCAAAATGTGACGAAAGGTCAAAAGGTTAGGGTCAAAGGTCAAAGCTATAATGTCCTTGTATCTCCACAACCACAAGTGGTAGAGATTTGAATTTGGTGCCAAATTGTTCGGAACATGCATATTTCTATTCGCTCTTACATTTTGCTAAAAAATGATCGGAAATGCCTTTTCTAACCTTTGACATGCTTCAAGGTCATAGCCATATTGTCCTTATATCTCCGCAACCACTGGTGGTAGAGGGTTAATTTTGGTGTCAATTTGTTCGGAACATTCATAATTCTATTTGGTCTAATAAATGAGTTTGCTAAAAAATGACTGGAAATGCCATTTCTTACCTTTAACATATTTTAGATATGATAGCCATTGAGTCATTTTTATCTCCGCAACCATTGGTGGTAGAGAGCATGTTCCGAACAATTTAGCCCCAAAAGTAACTCTCTACCACCAGTGGTTGCGGAGATGAAAATGACTCAATGGCTATCATATATAAAATATGTTAAAGGTCAGAAATTTTGGTTGCGGAGATACAAGGAACTTATAGCATTATTTATATTTTCACATTTTGAAAATATGTTACCAAGCCAAAAATGATTCTTGGACCACCCTGAACCAATTTCTGAAGTCAAATTCTCTGCACCTCAAAGTGCATACAAAACCTGGTCTGGCTTCTAGGGTATTACTTGTGTGATTCTTCTTAAATAACACAGGTAAATAATAACATTACCAAAATATATAAATGTGTTTTTAAATGAATTTTCAGATACAGAAATTAAAATATCGGGAGATTTTGAATTACAAGAGTGGCATAATGCGCTGTCGCTTCCAGTTAACGAAGGAGGGTGCGGCATAAAGGGCGTACCAGGGAAAGGTTCCTTCAAGACTACAGCAGAAATCATACTAACTGTCGCATCTACGATATTTACCAGCAGTGTGTTGCACGCCACAGTAAACTTCGGGCAGTATGACAACTATGGTTTCCCACCACATTACCCGGCATCCATCAACGGCAAACCGCCTACTAATAAGGTAATTGAAAATCCATACAAGCAGGCTTAAACTTATTTTCACAGTTTTAGCATTTTATATCCAGTCTGTGGTTGCCCTTTTACATAAAGACTAAATCTCACAATATACGTTTATTTGGGACTAAATACAATGCAATAAGCCACCGAATTTTAAAATTAAAAATTTTCAAAAAGTATTTGTAAAACTTGTATATGTAGTAGTAGTACCATACACGAGCGCAATAAAAAATATCTCACAACATACGTTTATTTGGGACTAAGTAAGCCACCGAGTTTTAAAATTATGATTCTAATTAATAGTAAAATTTGTTTATGACTTTGACCTTGTAGTATCATGCACGCGCATAAGAAAAGAAAATCTCACATTTGTTGATTTGGCATTACGTACGACGTAACGCAGTAAGTCACCTAGTTGGAAAATTATAATACAAATGATTAATACAATTTGTATATGACCTTGAGCTTGTAGTATTAGTCATCCATAATATAAAACATTCTACAATATGATTTTATATTATTAAAATTTATAACGTAGTTGAATGAAACAAGTTATTACAAAGTGCGACAGACTTTATTACAACGTGCGACAGCTTTGCGTATAACAAAGTGTGACAGGCGGCTATTACAAAGTGCGACAGCTTGATTATTACGAAGTGCGACAACAGTTATTACAAAGTGCGACAGGTTATATCAAAGTGTGACAGGTATTACAAAGTGCGATGATTATTACAAAGTGCGACAGTCCCATCAGTATCTTTTTATAAGTCAGTGTGAAGCCCAAAATGCCAATTATAAGATTATGTTCTAAAGAAAGGTTAAGATGAAGAATACAGCCAAAACCAGATTGTAAATGTATAACTAGTAATTAGGCGAAAAACTAATGTGATACTGTATGTTTTCGTCATAGGCCCTATATATATTTTTATTTACATTTTAGGGGTTAGTGTAAGTCAATTTATTATTTATTATGCATTTTGACTAGATGACCATACGCCTTTTTATCAGCGATGTTTACAAGTGACTTCCATGACGAGTGAATTGACCTTACTGCTAAGCCCCACCCCCTGGATATTGTTGCTAAGGTCTCACAAAACGACGCACAGTGGGCCAGAATTGTTTCAAAGTGTGCCAAAAGTCAATACTCATAAGAAAATACTGATTATGTTCATGGTAAGACTGTTTAAGGGGTTTTCAAACCTGCTGAATTCAATTACCCTATTTTTAAATATGTATGACGTCATCAAATTATTGTTTTTTGATTGGATAAGTAAAATATTCATTGTAATACCTAGGCAGATTCATATTACCTTGGTTATTAGAACATATAAGGGGTTTTCTAACCTGTAGATTTCAACGCAAGCATATTTAAATATGTATAACGTCATTAAAGTTTTTTTATTGGTTTCAAGACCAGCAAATTCAAATTAGAACATTTTACACTTTATGTGACATTATTAAAATACATTTCTTCAAAGAAAGGAGTGGAAGGTGGAGTGTTAAGAAGACACCTGCAGTACCCCCTTAGTCCGCGTCCACCCTATTAGTCAGCCCTCACCAGTGAAAATAAGCACAAAAGATCACAGTCAAACAGACTGAATTTACCTAATATCGCTATAATTTGCGTGAGCAATAATTGTTGTATTTGAATAGATGCTAAATAAATAAATGAAAAAAAGAAATTAAATGAGCGGTCCCACTTCATCGGGCATTTACCCCCATCCCATCACTCACCTTGGGATGCCCTTATCATCTCCAGAGGCAATTTGGCTTCAGATTTAGGATGGAGTAAAAATGTTTAAAAAAAAAATAAATAAAAAAATAAAAACAAAAGAGAAAGTGTCGGGAAAAAAAAGATTCCTAGAATAATTGACCTCAAAATGAAAGGGGGTCGAGGTCCTCCCCGGAAAAATGTTGTTTCCTAAACTTTTGACTTTTGAGGTGTATTTTAATGACATTTAAGTGTTTTAAAGTTCAAGAATCTCTCCCTTGAAAACAGTCATGTCAACTTTGTCATTCTTATTACAGTAAACAGGCTTATGTGTGTATAAAAAAATGAGTAGTTGCATACGTAGGCCTACTTTATCTTCCATGAACCGATGAACCCCAAATAGGACGGTGGTGGGAAAATGTTGATTCCTATATGTCGGAAAACGGGTTTTCTCAACTTCTGAAATTTTGGTTTCCCTCTCTTGACGTTTCATAATGAATCGATGAACCCTAAAGAGGACCCGGGGGAGAAACGCGGAATCATGTTAGCCCCTGGAAAATTTAGATTCCTAGATTGCGGGAAGTGAGCTTTTCAGACTTCTGAAGTATCTTTTAATGACCTTTAATAAAAACAAAATCAAGGTTTACCTATTGAAAACGGTCAGGTAAATTCTCTGATTTTTAATACAGTAAAGAGGCCTATTGTGTGTTTAGAGGTATAAATATGATTAATTGCTTACGCATTCTTTTTTTTTTCTTTTCTTTCTTTTTTTTTTAAACGGGGTCATCTCCCATCAAAATTTTGATTGAGCATTTCCGACATTTAATTGTCCAATTGTAACACAAAATTCAATAATCAGCTTACGGGTCCTGGAAAAGTAGTCTAGAATTATTTTTTAAATATTTATTTATTTAATGTTTTTGTCCAAGGGGGAGTGGTCAGGACCTTGACCCCTCCAGATCCACCAATGATCTCCCTCCCCAATTCACTCCTAGATATGACACTGGAAATCGAGTGTAATTGTTTTTACATTTGGCACCCAATGGTTGCAGGAATGATTTTATCGTATACCTTAATTAAAAAACGGCGCTTTTGTAGGGTGGGGGGTATATTAAATCGCTTGCTAAATGCAGGGTGGCAGATATTGGCAGCTAAACTTGGCATTAACGTAAAGCTTAGGCTCTGCCAGAAATGTTGGTATCAAAAGCATGACGAAAATCGCCGGCAATTCTAACTTTTAAGTTGGTTTTATGAAAAAAATGTTTTTAAGCGTTTTTGGCTCATATTTAGTGTCCTTTATTCTAAAAATATACCAATAATGTCATTTTTTATTTTACTGTCTAATTTAACTGTTAACAATGGGTAAATACTGCAAGAAGTATCAAGTTGACTGCTTTCATCTAAGTAAAGTCATAGGGAGTTTTTCAAAACTGTCAATTTTATCATTTTACGAGTAAAATACAACTTTTTCATGTTTATATCACACTATGAAAATTCACTAAATATGAAATTATTGGTGGATTAATATAATTTAGGATGTTCTCGACCTCAAACAACCTTTAAAAGTTGAAGTTGTCATATTACCTATTTTCGACTTTTGGCACACTTTGAATTGATTCTGGCCCACTGTGCGACGGTGTAACGTGTGTTTGTAGAAAACGGGCGTATTCTTGGCCCTCTTTGATTGGTCAGTTGTAGTTTGATTGACATATTTTGAAAAATTCGTGTTAAAACCGACACCCTTCGGAAAATGCTGCACTAGTTATACATACCTAAAAACGATTGCTTTACTATACTTTATTTTTACGATATGGTAATTGACATTAAATAGGAACTCAAAAAAATACCTTCATGGTAAGACGCCTAAAAGAATGGTGCTACAATATATTTATTTTTCCAGATTTGTGCTGGCACCTTGGTGGTAAACAGTAACAAACAATTTGTCCTCATACTTAAATTAGTATAAATAGTTACACGTATACCCTATATTGATCTGTATGTGTGTTTGGAAAAAGACAAGCTTAACAAATACATGATCACACTGCAAGCAATCAGAATGTGATAAAGAATTACGGATGGGTTCTTCCCAAAGTAACTGGTGATATTTTTGCATTATATTTGAGGAACCGAAAACAGAGGAGGATGTACTAAAGTCGTTGCCAGACAAGATGAAAACACTGAGCATAATGGAAATTACGAAACTGTTGAGTACACAAGCAACAGATGAATTAGGGAATTTTGAGGTCAACTACCAATTTGATCCAGTGGGGGAAAAAGCTGTTAAACAGTGAGTTTTATGTCATGTATATTATTGTCACATTTAAGTTGTATGTTATTGTAGTGAGAGCGTCATAGCTCAGTGGGCTAAACTGGTGGTAGCCACTGTATGATTTGTACTGAACCGTGAAGATTCTGTGGTAGCCGGTTCAATAGCATTCGCTGCTCTCCTTGTAATTCAACTGGTGGGCTGAATTAAATGCAAGTACTGTATAACACAAAATAAAGCGTACCTTTTTTCGGGTATGGACGTTAAGTAACGCAGTACACTCTTCGAAAAAGAGTAGTAGATATATGGGATTGTCTCACGTTGTACTGCCCAATTACTACTTCAAAACACTCACTGGAAATAAGTCTTCAGATTTCGTAAGCTATCATTAGTGTTCGCACCGAATAAATCTAATCCATAGTATGTTCAAATTCAGATATTGATATGATTATTTAATTCAGCAGCAGTAGGTCAAACGCCATGATTATAATTATTATTATTTTGTAGCAGAGTGAAATCAGTTAAAACGAATCTTATAAGCCAGATTGCGGAAATCCAGTTTTCTAAATGCCAGATTGCCGATTCCACTCCTCCCCAAACTGGGGTTCGGCGAAGTGGGATTCGGAAAACTGGGTTTTACAATTTTTTAGTCAGCAATTTGGCATTTGGCAATCTGACTTTCGACAAAGTGGACTCGACAGTCTGGTATTCGGCAAACTGTATTTCGGCAAACTGGTCGGATACGGTTAAAACTGAGTGTAACCAGGATAATGGAGATTTTTGGTTAATGGTTAAAGGTTATTAAGTTGCTTTACCTGTGAAATACAGGTTATATCCGAAATTATTTTCTGAGCATAATTATATTTAAAGTAGTTGGTTCATCATGTATGCCACAGAAGTAGGCATGAATATATAACATGTGGCCCATATGCACGTTACAACGACATCCTTAAACACACTAATAGGCTGCATTATTTACCGTAATCAACGGCTGAGTTACTTTACTTAACAACGTCGTCATCAACACAATCAGTCTTCATTTGCACCAATAAAATCAATAACATCATCATCTGCAAAATTACGTCAAAATTGTCATCATCCATTATTAGTTTTTATAATTAATATTTTCAATCACATAAATCATTCTCAATGTAATGTAATGTAATTTTTTTTTTGATTCAATATATAGTTATATTACCATCTGGATAACATCATCATTTGTAGCAATATAATTACAGTCATTCTATCATCATCTGCAACAATACAATCAATAACATCATCTGCGACAACAATCAATAACATCATAATTACAAAATTGCTTCATAATATTATGACCCATTATCGTTTTGTATTAATATCTTTTATCTTATCAATCACATGAATCATATTACTGTAATTTTATTTTATTTTTTTAGATTCAGAAAGGACTTGGTCGTTGTCGCATCAACCATCGATCAGCGGAACAATGATAGAGACTCGGTGTACACGTGTTTGGAACCGAAGCATGTACCAAATGCTATTAGCATTTAATTCTACCTATAAGAAAGGATGCTGCGAGTTACGTAGAAAACAATTATGTTATGGCGGGTTTAGGGGGTTAGATTCAACTCTTTGTAAAATATAAAAACAGCTTGATGTTTCAAAGTTTGTTAAAGTACAACACATATTGTTGTTTGATCATTAAACAACTGGGCAGTGTTTTGTTATTAATTGTAGTGTACTGTAATTGTATTTAGTACAGTTGTAATTAGGTTTAGTAAAGGTTGTGGCATGAATTTATATTTTTTTATCTAAAATAATTGTCTACATAATTTGCTTATTACAGTGTTGTACAATCTGAAAGCTGTTTGTGGTGCAGTGGTTGTGGCTCGAACTCTTAACCTTAAGGTCAGGGTTCGAAACTTTTGCTGTGCAAATCGCTTGCAACCTTATGGGCAAGGCTCGTCATCTACATTGTCTCCACCTAGCAGTATAAGTAGTTATCTACGAAGTTTTAGCGCAAATTGCGATGTTTTATCTTATGATATTTTGTAATAGTATAAAGTACATGCATAGTTCAATTGGCAATTAATTTAATTGACCTTATTAATTGTAGTGTACTGTAATTGTACTTAGTACAGTTGTAATTAGGTTTAGTAAAGGTTGTGGCATGAATTTATATTTTGTTATCTAAAATAATTGTCTACATAATTTGCTTATTACAGTGTTGTACAATCTGAAAGCTGTTTGTGGTGCAGTGGTTGTGGCTCGAACTCTTAACCTTAAGGTCAGGGTTCGAAACTTTTGCTGTGAAAATCGCTTGCAACCTTATGGCAAGGCTCGTCATCTACATTGTCTCCACCTAGCAGTATAAGTAGTTATCTACGAAGTTTTAGCGCAAATTGCGATGTTTTATCTTATGATATTTTGTAATAGTATAAAGTACATGCATAGTTCAATTGGCAATTAATTTAATTGACCTTATTGATAGGTTTTATTTAGAGGCACTGCATATCAAGCTCAAGAGATGTTTTACAATTTATTATGTTTTGAATAATTTTATTTGATTATCGTTGAATGATGAAATAGTTGAATTTAATTGAATATTCTACGCAGCAGACTATGAAATTTACCCCATGTTAATGTTCCAATGAATGGGGTAATATGTGTAAAAGCGCCCAGTTGTGTAGAGGGCTTATACATATAGACATTATTATTGCTAGTAATATTACAATGCATGTTAATCAGTTCGTACATTAGTTTAGTAATATTTGACCGATAAATACTCCACTATAAATTCCTTTTTTTGCTCGTGTAAGCCTATGCCTACTGTATAATAAATAAGATAACAGACTTCAATATTTCAGCAATGCACTTACCGATGCTAGTTTATAAAAGATATTTAATAACGATGCATGAATTCAGTGCTCAGATATAAAGGAACATGCTGTTATGAACAGTATCAAGCCTAGTTCATCAAAGATCCTTAATAGTTGTATACCGTTTAGACCACAGAGGCCTGTAGCCGCTGGTAAATAATAGCAAATAATATTCAAATAAAGTTGCAGGTTAGCACTGGGAAAACACATATAGTATAAATCAAAGAAATTAATACAGTGCTCCCACATAAAGGAATATGATGTTAAACTAGGTTTGATACAATTTATAACATCAGGTTCCTTTGTATTTGAGCACTGTATTATTATCGTATATAATCGTGTATAATAATAATATTCAAAATTGCATGTTTATTATCAATATAAACTACTCGTAATCATCGTACAGTTTTGTTTCTAAATAAATCCATTGCTTCAGTTTAGATGTGCGTCATTTTCTTCTAACAGGAAGTATATAAAAGATAGAGAAATATCAGTAAAATAAAAAAAAAGTACTTTGAGTTAATTACTTTGATCGCTTAATGAACAAATGACCAAGTTTTTATGTGTCTGACACTCTTATGAAAAGCTAAAAGAATTGTGCGGAAACTGCGGGGAGGTGGCTACCCTGAGTGCCAGAGAGAGAGAGAGAGAGTAACCAACGGAAAGCCTTCTGCTGGGATTCTTTACTCAAGCCAAAATCCCCTCCTTAATGCAATTGCACTCATCACGAGCTGTTTTCTCACTGGTTTTCTGTTAGGTGTGAACTACCACCTCTAAATTATTAAAAGCTCTCAAGTAAAACCCTAAGACTTCATACTGGGGAAAACTTTTTCAAAGGACTTATATAGATCACACATTGCCAGAAGGTGTATGATTTGAAATGGAACTGGTAGTGTTCCAACCGTAGAAGCGAACGGGTACAGTGGGAACGGGTTGATTTCCAAACCTTGAGGTCGGGATTTCAATCTCTCGTTTGTGTCCTTGATCAAGGCACCTGACCTTCATTACTTTCCTTCACCCAAGAGTATAAATGGGTAATTGGTGAAGTTGCTTACTCCTGCGCTGATTACCAGCAGCAACACTTAAAGCATGTGGACCCCATGACCAGAGAAAAGAACTGCATTTTATAACCACTAGGAAAAAGCGCATTATAAATGCCCATACCAGTACCAGGTAGTGCTGAATTACACGCCTAATTGGAATACTCCCCAGTAAGCGGAAGAGATTGCACGTCGTATCCAATGGAAGAAGTGCCTTGAAAAGGTCTTCTAGATATGTGCGCTACATAAATCCTATTAAATAAATAGATAACTACTCTATTTTTTATTTGATATAGGCCTACTATTTGAAGATACAGTACTAGTACAATGTAAAACATCATCCCAGAAATGGAATTATTCAAAATGTATTTTGCAAATAACCATAGCACAATCTTTTAAACTGGCATCTGTCTTTTCTCGTGCCCACTATAAGTAAGAAATACTTTAAACCGCTACAAGTTTTATGATCATGGAATATTATGTTCCCGAGATAAAGTTAGCTTTACATTTTTTTAATATTAGAATACCTAGCCTAACTTTAATTATATTACTTGTAATTATTTGTTCCATCTATTATTATAATTTACACCAGGAGCTCATGGGTTTCTGGATTTCTGTAGTATTTCAGCGCTTGTCCACTACTAGGCCTACAATATTCTTGAAAACTACAGAATATTGCAGTATCAGTCTATAAAGACATTTTGTAATGCGGTCGAACAGTAATTTGGGCTTTTTAAAAATAGCGTGATTTGTTTTTCTGAATTGTTCAGGAGATTTAATAAAAAGCTGTTGATAATTTTAGTCATGATTATATTATTATTACTTTAGTACTAATAAATTTTTAGCACCAAACGTAGCCAACGAAAGTATAAAGAAACTTTGCTATAGTCCACCGGTAGATAGCAACCTTCTGTTTTCTGAGGTGTGGAATAAATTCTTCAAATAGATTGATCGATTGATCGACTATTGATTGTTAAAAAACAAAGGTTGCTACTTTGCATTACATTAAATGAAAGATATTTTCCTATATAGTAGTTAAATTATTATAGCCTATTTGTTATTATTATTATTACAAGATAATTTAATTTTATTTAAACATATTTATAATTTAAAATGTAATTTATGGAGGATAGGCAAGCAAAAAGGGAATTAAGATTTAGAGAAGATAAAGGTATGGAATCCATCTTGTTGCACGTTTAATGCAAGAAAATCATACAACAATACAAATACAAATCATACACCATTATCTAGAGTTTCCAAATCTTAAAAGTACCCGGAAATCAAGATGGCGTTCTAAATGGCCGCCATTTTAAAATGTTATCATAACTTTGCAACCAGACAAGTTGGAAGCACAAAAAAGTGTCTAAACATGTTTAATGGTACAAGGAATACAATAAAACCATTATCTGGAGAGTCCTAATCTTATAAGTACCCCAAAACCATCGAAATTCAAAATTACAGGCAAACCTGATGTTCATACATGCTGTGACAGGATGTGACACTGTGTCGGTAGTATGTCGTCAGGCCAAGCATAAATCTTGATGTATAATTTCACAACAATAAAAGCACCCAAGGGATTGTGAAAAGAGCTGGGGAAACTTCTTTATGGAGCCAGAAAATTGGAACCACCGCATCGACAGGATTTGAAAAATCTGCCGCCAACTACTGCATTCATCATTCGAACCGCAGAATTTCGCAGTTCACTATTTTTTGGATCAATAGAAGACATCATGATGCACCTGACACTTTTCTAAACATGGTGTCATGTAGGTGCAAACAAGATATTTTTATCAACATCACATGTAGTTGCAAGAACCTTGCAGTCTTTTCCACCTAAATGCGCAATAGATATTGTGGTCAACCACCACATGTCAATAATAATACAATGATATTATTCCAACAGTGGATAACATTGTTGAAAATCACTGTAACAGATGATAAATGTAATGACTGATTCATATTTGCATATCTAGATTATCTCGTGAACAGGGCAGATATTTTGGATGTCATCTTAGTTATTTATTTCAACACCCAACAGTGTTAAAAAACACCAAAACCGATACTGAGTTATGGATACTGATAATTTGGAAATTATTTTTGAAATAAAACACATATTTACATATCTTAGCTCCAACATGCTTGGTTGCAAAACGTACGATACATTAGAAGTATATAATGACAGTTCTTTTGCACTTCTCTTGTAGTAGTGTTGTAGTATTTACATGATCTGACGTTAAATTTACTTATTTTAACGTATTCACACCTTCACATGTTGGTCTATGCTTTTGACCCCTTCGTCGGAAACGTCGGCCTCCTTGTCGGCAAATTTCTGGCGCAACCGCTGTAAGCATGGCGGCCGATAATGGTCAGCGTGTGGTTCGAACCAATGACAACGTTTGTGTTGAAAATTATCACAGTTTACGGAACAATGTTACTGGACGCTCGAGCGAGTGTTTGGTCACGCTGAACATTTTTGTCCACAGCATACTGTACAATTTATCATATTTTGTTTTATGTTGATACAGTTAATTTTGCATTCAATTCAATTCAGTGTTAAGTCATCTATAACCCTATTAATGGTCATAGATTTTCTCGGTTTCAAATCGAACCGACGTAAGTTGGTAAATATTAATTTTTCAAAACTGTATTGGGTTTTTTTTTTACTTACGATGCTGATCGTCGTGAAACCCCCTGAAAATCCAATGCTCTGTGACCAAAACAATTGGAGATCAGCTTAAAAGATTTTAAAAAATGATGACGTATTCGGGTTTTTTTTTATCGTTTTCGTAAGGTTGTACAACACCCTATATCGCACACAGGAACGCGATAATGTGGTGCGCTATAAACTTATATTCAGCCGTTTATGTGATGGCCACTGAGAGACCACGTAACTCTGCATACTTCACAACATTAATTGCAATGCCATAATGGAAGAATTGTTCAATTTTAGTAAAAATTGAACAATTTTTCGACCATGCCATTTCCGTTGTTTTGTGCTCGGCGGTACCTACGAATCATACAAATACTATCCATTTTTGCAAATTCCACCTAAAAACAACTTTTAATTTTCATTAATCATGTCGGTACTATAATGTAAGTCTCGGCCAAACCACTAGGTGAAAATTGTCAAAAACGTAAAGTGTATAGCTCACGGTTTTTATCGAAATTGGACATTATTTCAACCATGTCATTTCTCGGTTGCCTTATGTTTTGTCGTTCAAATTCCGATTCATTAATCCTAATAAAATTGTGTATTTTATGCAATATTTTAAAATAAATGAAAAACTACTGCCACACAAAATATTAAAATACTAAAATAAAAATTGAAATTGTTTATTCAAAAGAACTACAATATATCAGTTTTCAAATTATAATTCACAGGTTGAAATTAATTAGTTTTAATAACCTGACGTTTTACTTAATTTACTACTGTATTTAGAGGTTATATATACAAAGAAGACTATGGATAGTCTTTTTTCTCTTGTTCAAGACTATGCCATTTATTTTAAATCAACCGTATTATTCACATATCATTTATCATACATATTATTCAATATAGTATACCCAAATCTTCATAAAATCTGGAATAGAGAAATTGAAAATAATATGAAAGAATATATGGAAAACAATAGCTCATTTACTTCTATATTTTCAGACTTAACTAAAATTTTGCGACAAATGCTGCAAGGCCATTCTTCTTTTACCCAATATTAGGTTTTTGAAATCATGATCATTAAGCATATTTTGTCAATCAAGACTTAGTAGTTTCTTAACCTGATGCATCCACTTAACATATTATATTGCTCATAAACTACACCTGCACATAGTTTACAATACGGATTTGTCCTTCCAAATAATAATAGTACCAAGGTACAATCTCAACTGGTTAGTTATTTAAGTATGTGAACTCAGAGTTGTGTCTTTTCCGTCAGAAATCGATAATCATTTTCTTCATCTTGGACACGTTCAGTTTTAATTACGAGTTATCACAGAATTTACTGAATGCATCTAATACAGGACCATGACTATCATTCCCAAGAAAACAAAACAAAACAAAACAAAATAAAAACAAAACAAAAACAAAAACAAACAAAAAACATTTGCTCCTCATTTTTTTGGATTTTCCCAAAACCTGGCCAACACAATATTTTTTTTTGCAGGCCTTGTCTTATTTAATTATTATATAATTGATTATATATATTTATTAGTTAGTTAAAGAA